GGCCGTATGTTTTCCTGCAAAATGTCTTGATAAACTCTGGAATTCATTTTCCCATCAATGACAACAATCCGTCCAGGCCCTGAGGCAGCAAAGCAGCCCCAAACCATGATGCTCCCTCCGCCATGTTTCACAGTGGGGATGAGGTTTTGATGTTGGTGTGCTGCGCCTTTTTTTCTCCACACATAGTGTTGTGTGTTCTTCCCAAACAACTCAATCTTGGTTTCATCTGTCCACAGTATATTTTGCCAGTAGTGCTGTGGAACATCCAGGTGCTCTTTTGCAAACATCAAACGTGCTGCAATATTCTTTTTGGACAGCAATGGCTTCCTCCGTGGTGTCCTCCCATGTACTCCCATTCTTGTTTAATCTTTTCCTTATTGTAGATGTGTCAACAAAAATGTTAGCATGTGCCAGAGATTTCTGTAGGTCTTTAGCTGACACTCTGGGATTCTTCTTTACCTCATGCAGCATTCTGCGCTGTGCTCTTGCAGTCATTTTTACAGGACGACCACGCCTAGGGAGAGTAGCAACAGTGCTAAACTTTCTCCATTTGTAGACAGTCTGTCTTACCGTGGACACATGAACATCAAGACTCAAGGAGATACTTTTGTAACCCTTTCCAGCTTCATGCAAGTCAACAATTCTTGATGGTAGGTCTTCTGAGAGCTCTTTTTTGCGAGGCATGGTTCACATCAGACAGTGCTTCTTGAAACCAGTAAACCCAAAACAGGTGTGTGTTTTTTAAGGGCAGGACAGCTGTCAGCAACACATCCAATATCATCACACTGATTGGAGTCAAGGTTGGCTCACTCCTGGCTCCAATTAGCTCTGGGAGAAGTCATTAAGCTAGGGCCTCACATACTTTTTCCTCCCTGCACTGTGAATGTTTACATGTTATGTGCAATTAAACCATGGCAACATCTAATGTTTGTGTAGTATTATGTTCAGCAGACTGTGTTCTTCTATTGTTGTGACTTAGATGACGTTCAGAGCACATTTTATGCCCAATTCATGCAAAACTCCACGTAATCCCAAGGGGTTCACATACTTTTTCTTGCAACTGTATGTATACACACACACACGTATATACAAAAGCCAAGAAATGAAAAATAGAAAAACAAAAGAATTATTTTAAAGAAATAAATACTGATCAAAATCCGAATTTAACCCTTTAGGGGTTAATGTGCCCGAGCGGTGGATCCATTGAACCTCCCATTGTCTAAGTTGTAATTCCCTGTTACCTCCACGTCTATTTCTAAGAATTCCATCAATTACCATAAATCTGAGGAGAAACCGTATGACCCTTTTCTACAAAATGTCTCGCTAGCGGTTACTTAGCAAGTTTATCTCTAATAGAGTATGTCTAGCTATTCTATCATTTACCTTTTGGGTGGTCTTGCCAATATATAACAAACCACATGGACATTTTATAGTGTTCCTTGATGGATATATTATAACCTAAATGAGGATGAGAGAAAGATTTTCCCTTTATCGTATTGTTACATTGTATACAACTGAGACATGGATAAGAGCCAAAGTTACAAGGACCCAAAAAGGTTAAAGGAAATAAAGGTGGATTATATTGATCTGATCTTACTAAGCTAATGTCCTTCTCTGGCGATAAGGTAACGGAAAGAGATTCAATTTTGGTATAGAGGGAAAATTAGTACTCAAAATTGACCAATGTTATTTAAATATATTTAAAATCCGATTTAAGTACGGGTGAAACAGAGATGAAAGGCAGTCTGCGGGAATTAAACCATCTGTTTTTCTGTCGAGACAAAGTATCCCTTTCTTTTTTAACTATATCAGGGGGATAACCTTGTACACAGAGCCTGTCTTCCATCGTTGAGTCTAATCTCCCTAACCTGTGGGTCATTGACAATCCTTTAAATGTGTTAGATGGCTACGGGGTATAGATTTGAAAACCCCAGGGGGATGAAAACTAGAAAATAAGAAAAACTGGCTACGATCTGTAGGCTTAATGTATAAATCACTAACAATATGCTCATTGCATGTTCTCAAAAGAGTATCCAAAAAAAAAATTTCCGTTGTGCTCATTGACTTAAGTCCTGATATTAAACAATTCAAATAAGTATTAAACAAGGATAAGGATTCTAAGTCACTAATGATAATACAATGTATTTAATGTCAGAATATCATGTCACACCTATTATATATGTCCATGTGGTTTGTTATATATTGGTGAGACCACCCAAAAGGTAAAGGATAGAATAGCTAGACATAAATACTCTGTTAGAGATAAACTCTAAAACAGGCCTCGCCATGGTTGACCAAAGAAGTTGAGTGCACGTGCTCAGCGTCATATCCAGAGCTTGTCTTTGGGAAATAGATGTATGAGTGCTGCCAGCATTGCTGCAGAGTTTGAAGGGGTGGGGGGTCAGCCTGTCAGTGCTCAGACTATATGCCGCACACTGCATCAAATTGGTCTGCATAGCTGTCATCCCAGAAGGAAGCCTCTTCTAAAGATGATGCACAAGAAAGCCTACAAACAGTTTGCTGAAGACAAGCAGACTAAGGACATGGATTACTGGAGCCATGTCCTGTGGTCTGATGAGACCAAGATAAACTGATTTGGTTCAGATGGTGTCAAGCATGTATGGCGGCAACCAGGTGAGGAGTACAAAGACAAGCGTATCTTGCCTATAGTCAAGCATGGTGGTGGGAGTGTCATGGTGTGGGGCTGCATGAGTGTTGCCGGCACTGGGAAGCTACAGTTCATTGAGGGAACCATGAATGCCAACATGGACTGTGACATACTGAAGCAGAGCATGATCCCCTCCCTTCGGAGACTGGGCTGCAGGGCAGTATTCCAACATGATAACGACCCCAAACACACCTCCAAGACAACCACTGCCTTGCTAAAGAAGCTGAGGGTAAAGGTGATGGACTGGCCAAGCATGTCTCCAGACCTATTGAGCATCTGTGGGGCATCCTCAAACAGAAGGCGGAGAAGCATAAGGTCTCTAACATCCACCAAGCTCCGGTGAACTCCATGCCCAAGAGGGTTAAGGCAGTGCTGGAAAATAATGGTGGCCACACAAAATATTGACACTTTGGGCCCAGTTTGAACATTTTCACTTAGGGGTGTACTCACTTTTGTTGTCGAGGACTGTTCTGAGTGGAACCTGTCCTGTTAAACCGCTGTATGATCTTGTCCACTGTTCTTCAGCTCAGTTTCAGGGTCTTAGCAATCTTCTTATAGCCTAGGGTATCTTAATGTAGAGCAATTCTTTTTTTTAGATCCTCAGAGAGTTCTTTGCCATGAGGTGCCGTGTTGAACTTCCAGTGACCAGTATGAAAGAGTGAGAGCGATAACACCAAATGTAACACACCTGCTCCCCATTCGCACCTGAGACCTTGTAACAGGAGTCACATTACATCGGGGAGGGAAAATGGCCAATTGGGCTCAATATGGACATTTTCACTTAGGGGTGTACTCACTTTTGTTGCCAGCGGTTTAGACATTAATGGCTGTGTGTTGAATTATTTTGAGGGGACAGCAAATTTACATGTTATACAAGCTGTACACTGACTACGTCACATTGTAGCAAAGTGTCATTTCTTCAGTGTTGTCACATGAAAAGATAAAATAGTTACAAAAATGTGAGGGGTGTACTCACTTCTACCGTTCACATAAACCAATCAATATACACATTTTTTTTTTTACCAAAGACGTAGCAGAATACATGTTGGCCTAAATTTATGAAGACATTTTATTTTTTACATTTCTTTATTGGATATGTTTTATAGCAGAAAGTAGAAATTTTTTTTTTAAAACTTTTCAGTAACTAGTAAATAGAGTCCACCTGTGTGTAATTTAATATCAGTATAAATACAGCTGTTCTGTGAAGCCCTCAGAGCAGGGGTGGGCAAACTTTTTGACTTGAGGGCCGCAATGGGTTCATATATTGGACCCGGGGGCCGGACCAAGAGTAGATGAATGATGTGTATGTGTCATCCATAGTAAGTATAGTAATATTCCCCCATAGTAAGCATGGTAATTAATCCCCCATATAGTAATTCATCCCCCATATAGTAATTCATCCCCCATAGTAATTCATCCCCCATATAGTAATTCATCCCCCATAGTAATTCATCCCCCATATAGTAATTCATCCCCCATAGTAATTCATCCCCCATATAGTAATTCATTCCCCATATTAATTCATCCCCCATATTAAGTCCCCAAGTCCCCTCTGTGTCAATTCACTTACCTTTGCTCCGCGCGTTCCTCTCGCCGTGTTCCCGCGCCGTTCTGGTGTAGCATGAAAATCTGTCTCCTATGAGGATCTGTCCCCCTCGACGTATCTGCGCATCTGCCAGTTTCAGGCATTAGCAGCCGATCGGCGATCTCCGGCACATGCGCAGATATGTCGAGGGGGACAGATCCTCATAGGAGACAGATTTTCATGCTACACCGGTCTTCAGGGCGGACTGTGAGGGGAGCCTAGCTCCGCGGGCCGGATTTAAAGGTCCGCCGGGCCGTATACGGCCCGCTTGGCCGTAGTTTGCCCATTGCTGCCTCAGAGGTTTGTTAGAGAACATTAGTGAACGAACAGCATCATGAAGGCCAAGGAACACACCAGACAGGTCAGGGATAAAGTTTTGGAGTTTAACCTCCCTAGCGGTATGATTATGTCAATATTTCTGTGCTCAAAGCGGTACATTTTTTTGCATGGAAATATGTCGTTTTTTTATTGTAGGCTGTAATATTTAGGAATAACTCACTGAAATCTGTCCGAACAAGAGTCTATTAAACATCCCGGGTATGATAAAATTTGAAACACAAAATCATAAATTATAATTTAATAAATAATCATAAAAAATAATAGTATAATAATACATTTAATTCAATAATATAATCAAACCAAAAACACTGAAATTTGAAATATAGCGCCAAGTTCGCACATCGCTGAGCAAAGTCGCAAAATCGTTTTCAGTGTCTGATGACGAATTTCTCCACGAATCATTATCACTCAATTCTGCAAGTGGTTCTAATTTACTATCGCTGTTCTCTAGCTGGTCTAAAACTGCTTTTGACCTAAAGGGACGCTTTTTGGACGCCATGGACATTTCTCAGTTTCCAGGCAGAAAGAACAGTAAAAATGCAGGCAGGGCACAGGACAAAGCACTCGGCACAAAATTATGTGAAATGGTTTGATACAGTAATGTTATACTATGTGATTTTACTGTATTTAGTGAATGTCACTTTTTGACATTTTTAAATTTCCCGCCGTTTTGTCCCCTGTACGTCCCGACTTCACAGGGAACGGAACCCAGAAGACAGATGCCGGCATCGGCCGGAGGAGATGGCCAGGGACGCTGCAGGGGGGACATCGCGGGAGTGAAGGACAAGGTAAATGCAGAAGGGATCCCGGAGCAACGCTGCAAGGTATTCCTGAGTGTAGCACGGGGTTACCGCATGTGGTGCTAAAACTTTACCCGAACTACACTTGGGAATACCTCCAGGGAGGTTAAAGCAGGATTAGGTTATAAAAAAATATCCCAAGCTTTGAACATCTCACGGAGCACTGTTCAATCCATCATCTGAAAATGGTAAGAGTATGACACAACTGCAAACCTACCAAGACATGGCCGTCCACCTAAACTGACATGCTGGGCAAGGAGAGCATTAGTCAGAGAATTCAGTCAAGAGGCCCTTGGTAACTCTGGAGGAGCTGCAGAGATCCACAGCTCAGGTGAGAGAATCTGTCCACAAGACAACTATTAGTCATGCACTCCACAAATCTGGCCTTTATGGAAGAGTGGCAAGAAGAAAGCCATTGTTGAAAGAGGGCCATAAGAAGTCCCTTTTGCAGTTTGTGAGAAGGCGTGGGGGACACAGCAAACATGGAAGAAGGTGCTCTGGTCATATGATACCAAAATGGAACTTTAAATACAGGGCAATCTTAGAAGAAAACCTGTTAGAGTCTGCAAAAGTTTTGAGACTGGGGAGGAGGTTCACCTTCCAGCAAGACAACGGCCCTAAATATACAGCCAGAGCTACAATGGAATCAAAGCATATTCATGTGTTAGAATGGCCCAGTCAAAGTCCAGGCCTAAATCCAATGGAGAATCTGTGGCAAGACTTGAAAATTGCTGTTCCCAGACGCTCTCCGTCCAATCTGACAGAGCTTCAGCGATTCTGCAAAGATGAATGCGCAGAAATATCCCTCTTTAGATGTGCAAAGCTGGTAGAGACATCCCCAAAAAGACTTGCGGCTGGAATTGCAGCAAAAGGGGGTCCTACAAAGTATTGACTCCAGGGGGCTGAATACAAATGCTGCCACATTTTTCAGATACTTATTTGTAAATAATTTTGAAAACCATTTCTCATGTTCCTTCCACTTCACAATTATGTGCCACTTTATTTTGGTCTATCACATCAAATCCCAATAAAATACACTTACGTTTTTTGTTGTAACATGAAAACGTGGAAAATTTCAAGGGGTATGAATATTTTTTCAAGGCACTGTATATAACACTAATATCTGTACACTGCATGCTATTTCCTATATAAAACACTGATATCTGAACACTGAGTTGCACTCAGTGTGCAGATGTCAGTGATATACAGTTAGGTCCATATATATTTGGACACAGGCACAATTTTAGTTTTTTTTCAGGTATTTACAAAAACATATTCAAGCTATAGTTATATACAGTAATGGATATGGGCTCACAGATTTAATTTGAGGGCATGTACATCGAAATTGGAGTAAGGGTTTAGGATTTACAGCTCTTAAGAGTAGCCATCCCCCCCTTTTTAAGGGACCAAAAGTAATGGGACAATTAAAACAAAAGCTGTTTCATGGCCAGGTGTGGGCTACTCCTTTGTTATTTCTTCAGTTATCCAGGTAAAAGGTCTGGAGTTAATTCTAAGTGTGGTATTTGCATTTGGAATCTATTGCTGTGAATCTACATCATGTGTACAAAGGAGCTGTCCATGCAAGTGAAACAGGCCATTGTAAGGCTTCAAAAACCAAACAAATCCATTAGAGAGATAGCAACTTTAGGAGAGTGTGCACTTTCAGTCCATATCCATTATATAACTATAGCTTGAATATGTTTTGGTAAATACCTGAAAAAAAACCCTAAAATTTTGCCTGTGTCCAAATATATATGGACTTAACTGTATATAGGGAATAACATTAAGTGTACAGATATCTGTGTTATAGAACATTGATATCTTTACATTTAATGTTTTTTCCTAAATATACTGACGTATACACTGACATCTCTACATTGTACTGTACATTGAGTACCACTGTACAAATATCAGTGTGTACAGAAATCAGGATTTTTAGATATAGGGTCGGGTAGGGAATGGCACTCAGTGTACAGACATACAGTCAGGTCCATAAATATTGGGGACATCAACACAATTCTAACATTTTTGGCTCTATACACCACCACAATGGATTTGAAATGAAACGAACAAGATGTGCTTTAACTGCAGACTGTCATCTTTAATTTGAGGGTATTTACATCCAAATCAGGTGAACGGTGTAGGAAGTACAACAGTTTGCATATGTGCCTCCCACTTATTAAGGAACCAAAAGTAATGGGACAGAATAATAATCATAAATCAAACTTTCACTTTTTAATACTTGGTTGGAAATCCTTTGCACGCAATTACAGCCTGAAGTCTGGAACGCATAGACATCACCAGACGCTGGGTTTCATCCCTGGTGATGCTCTGCCAGGCCTCTACTGCAACTGTCTTCAGTTCCTGCTTGTTCTTGGGGCATTTTCCCTTCAGTTTTGTCTTCAGCAAGTGAAATGCATGCTCAATCAGATTCAGGTCAGGTGATTGACTTGGCCATTGCATAATATTCCACTTCTTTCCCTTAAGAAACTCTTTGGTTGCTTTTGCAGTATGCTTTGGGTCATTGTCCATCTGTACTGTGAAGCGGCGTCCAATGAGTTCTGAAGCATTTGGCTGAATATGAGCAGATAATATTGCCCGAAACACTTCAGAATTCATACTGCTGCTTTTGTCAGCAGTCACATCATCAATAAATACAAGAGAACCAGTTCCATTGGCAGCCATACATGCCCACGCCATGACACTACCACCACCATGCTTCACTGATGAGGTGGTATGCTTAGGATCATGAGCAGTTCCTTTCCTTCTCCATACTCTCTCTTCCCATCACTCTGGTACAAGTTGATCTTGGTCTCATCTGTCCATAGGATGTTGTTCCAGAACTTTGAAGGCTTTTTTAGATGTCGTTTGGCAAACTCTAATCTGGCCTTCCTGTTTTTGAGGCTCACCAATGGTTTACATCTTGTGGTGAACCTTCTGTATTCACTCTGGTGAAGTCTTCTCTTGATTATTGACTTTGACACACATACACCTACCTCCTGGAGAGTGTTCTTGATCTGGCCAACTGTTGTGAAGGGTGTTTTCTTCACCAGGGAAAGAATTCTTTGGTCATCCACCACAGTTGTTTTCCGTGGTCTTCCGGGTCTTTTGGTGTTGCTGAGCTCACCGATGCGTTCCTTCTTTTTAAGAATGTTCCAAACTGTTGTTTTGGCCACGCCTAATGTTTTTGCTATCTCTCTGATGGGTTTGTTTTGTTTTTTTCAGCCTAATGATGGCTTGCTTCACTGATAGTGACAGCTCTTTGGATCTCATCTTGAGAGTTGACAGCAACAGATTCCAAATGCAAATAGCACACTTGAAATGAACTCTGGACCTTGTATCTGCTCATTGTAATTGGGATAATGAGGAAATAACACACACCTGGCCATGGAACGGCTGAGAAGCCAATTGTCCCATTACTTTTGGTCCCTTAATAAGTGGGAGGCACATATGCAAACTGTTGTAATTCCTACACCGTTCACCTGATTTGGATGTAAATACCCTCAAATTAAAGCTGACAGTCTGCAGTTAAAGCACATCTTGTTTGTTTCATTTCAAATCCATTGTGGTGGTGTATAGAGCCAAAAATGTTAGAATTGTGTCGATGTCCCAATATTTATGGACCTGACTGTAAGTGTTATTTACATTACATTCTCTCTCTCCCCCCTACTCTCTCCCCCCCTCTCTCCCCCCTCCCCCTCCTCTCTCTCTCTCTCCCCCCCCTCCCTCCCTGCCCCTCCTCTCCCCTTTCCCCTCTCTCTCCCCCCTCAATCCTCCCCCTCCCCTCTCGCTCTCTCTCCCCCTCTCTCCCCTGCTCTCTCCCTCTCCCCATCCTCCCTCCCCCTCCTCTCTCTCTCCCTCCTAGCTCCCTCTCTCCCTGCCTCCCCTCTCTGCCCCCCCCTCTCTCCTGTCTCCCTCCTCTCTCCCCTGCTCTCTTTCTCCCCCCCTCCTCTCTCTCTCTCTCTCTCTCTCCCCTCCTCTCTCCCTCCTTTCCCTCTCTCCCCCTTCTCTCTCTCTTTCGCTCTCCCCCTCTCTCTCTCTCCCCCCTTCCCCTCCTCTATCTCCTCTATCTTCCTCCCTCCCTCCTACATGAAGCTGCAGTGCTGTCACCGGGGGTCGAGGGATCACACACTGACCTGCTACAGGAAACAAGACAGACCACTTAAATTAGGATTCTGCTCTGTGCTTTACCCGCTTCTCCAACTTCAGCACCTGTGGCAGGGATGTGGACCCGCCCCCCTCTGCTGAAACTCCGAGGAGGAGAGCTGTTTGAAGTGTCTGCTGTGGCGCTGCCCCATCCACCAACACTTTCTGATCCAGGCCAATATTAGTGCTCCGCTCCTTCTCTGCACTTACTGCATGAACCAGACCTCACTGTCCGTCCGCTCAAGGCTTGCTTATTTCCTCCTTTCAGCAGCGGCACATACAGGGACGGACTGAGCCTTTCATGGGGCCCTCTAGTGACCCCGGGCCCTCGGACAGCGCCCGAATGGTCAGTCCGCCCCTGCCCTGGACTCATTGTCAGACCCCACGCTGGTGCAGTAGGTCCTGAGTTCCTTCTGGTGCACAACAATGCACAGCCTCATGTGGCAAGAGTATGCAGGCAGTTCCTGCAGGATAACGGAATTGATACCATTGAATGGCCCCCACGCTCGTCTGACCTAAATCCAATAGAACAAATCTGGGATATCATGTTTCGGTTCATCAGACACCACCAGGTTGCACCTCACTATCCAGGAGCTCAGTGATGCCCTGGTCCAGATCTGGGAGGTAATACCCCAGGACATCATCCGCCGTCTTATTAGAAGCATGCCTTGCCGTTGTCAGACATGCATACAAGCACGTGGGAGCCATACAAACTACTGAGGACCATTCTTAGTTGCTGCAATGAAATTGCAGCAAAATGGACTAGCCTGCTGCATCATTTTTTCACTTTGATTTTCAGTGTGTCTTTGAATTCAGTCCTCTG